CATCGCGATATAGCGATGTATCGCAATTTAGCATATGTTCAAAAATTATCTATCATAAATCTTTTTAAATTAAACAAAAAGGAATAAATCTATTACGAAACAAAATGTCTTAAGTAAAAGCAAACCCAAGCTTTATTTTAATTTTTTTTTAATTAAAAATGACTTAAGATTTATTGGTTTAAAAATAATAATAAAACTAACAAAATATTTTACATACATGCATTAAAAATTGAAAGAAAAAAAACGAAAGTAAAAAAAAACAAACTGAAGAAATGTTCAATTAAATAAATTATTTTTTAAATTATTAGTTGAAAAAATCCGTGCTTTTGAAGCATTGTTAGATCTTCTTTTATTTATTTATTTAAAATAATTAAGTTGTATTAACTAATAGTCTAATTCTATACTTAATGAATGTAAAAATAAATTTAAGTTTTTTATTTATTATTATTTTCTTTTTTGAAAATAAAATCGATTAAGGGCTTACGTGTTTAAAAATGATACTGACTCTCTAACAAATTATGAAACAAACAAGTATTGAAGGAATTTTAAGAAAAAAAACTTTTAAGTACTATTGTTATATTATTAAAAAGCTTTAAAACATTGCTTAACTTTTTATTCAATTAAAAATAAATATTTGTTTTAGCTAATAGCCAAATTTTTTATAATTAAAAGCGACTGAAGATTTAATTGTTTAAAAATAATCAAATTCCATCAAATTATTATACTTACGTGCATTAAGTAAATTTTAAAAAATAACAAAGTAAAATATAAAGTAAAATATTTTTATAACAAAGTAAAATACAAAATCCCCTTATTAAATTGTATCGCTTAAAAGGAAAAACAATAATTAAAAAAAAGAAGAAAAAAACAATGAAAAATCTTTTTTTTATTCACATTTTCCTTTTATTAATAAATTGAGTTCGGAACGAAAATTTAAGATAACAGCGATTGTGCAACGATCGCCATGTAACAGTAGGTCTACTACATATAATTTACAAGAATCGTTAAACCCCACCAAACAAAAAAAAAAAATTTAAAAAAAAAAAAAGAAGAAGAAAAAGTGACGAAATAATGCACAATGAAAAGAACGCTAAGTAGCAAAAGTCTCACTGAAAATAATTTACAGGAAACGTTAAACCCCGACGAAATAAAGTGCACAGCGATCTCAAAATAACGTAAGTCCAGCTGAAAATAATCTTCAAAAAAAGTAAACTTCCAAAGACAAAAATGGCGCATAAAAGAACTATGCATAGCTATGAAACTATTTCAACGCTGATCGTCGCACGAAACGAAGAGTTCTGATTCAATTCACTTTTCGTTATCTTCGTAGCTAGACACTATCAACAGCTCCGCAGTTAGACGAAATCAAAATAGTCTTCATCAGCGCTTTGACAGCGTAGTGTAGGCAAGGATTCTAACATGGTTAATCGTTGTATCGTTAAATCGCGAGCGTTGTCTTATACGACGGCTTAAATCAGATTTCTGATGCATCGTCTAAAACGAAAGTCACTATCGGCAGCTTAAATCAAATTTCTGATGCATCGCCTGAACCGAAAGTCACTATCGGCGGCTTATATCAGATTTCTGATGCATAGTCAAAAACGAAAGTCATTATATCGGCCTGTCGATATATGCATTAAATCGATATTTCGCGATGCATCGATTTCTAGCCCAGTCCTATTCAGAATCAATTTTTTATGCTGCAAATGAGGTTTTATTAGACGCAATGCGAAATTTTGTAGATTTATATAACCCTGTATTTATGTATTTTCAATAACCCTGTATTTTTAAAACTAAGCAATATTGGAATATGATGTTTATGCTATATTTTGCAAAGAAAATGACCATAAAGTAATGCTTATAAAAAATTTTAGTTTGAAATGTTTTAAATTTTTCATAAAAAAGCACAATTATTCATGAAATAATCTTCAATGTAACTGAAGATACAAGTTGGAGCTTATTTCAAAATTTAATTGCAATTATGGGAGGCATATTCCATACGATTTATGAGGTTATACAACGAAAAAAATAATAATAACTGAGAAAAATGTGACCTCCAACTTTAAACATAAATTTGTTACAAAGTAAACTCTTTAAAGAAGGTATTAAGATTCTTTTTTTAGCCATGTGATTATTTTGGAATACGCCGCTGCCATTTTTCTAAGTAGCGTACAACATGTGCGTACGCCTCACGTGTTCTTAAAAGTCAATTTAAGATGTTTTTATACCAAATAAGACAATTAAAACTCATAGAAACAGATGGTTCTTTTTCCTCATTAAACTACAAATTTATTTCTTTATAAATCAATTACTTTGACGTAAAATTGCGTTTGTTCTTTTAAATATGCTTTTAATGAATATTAATTATGATATTTTTAATTTAATTTTCAGTAATTATAGCGACTTTTAATGGTATTTTATGGGAAGCTCGATAAAGTTCCAGGAGACCACAAACATTAACTGAGAACTCAACTACTATATTTTTCGTGTTTGGATACATTGTTAAAATAATGAATCGTATTGAACCAATTATCGTTCTTATTACTTCGACTTCAATATAACAACTTCACTACTGAATAATAACCTTCAATATACTATAACTTTATAACAACTAACTACTGAATAATGACCTTCAATATACTATAACTTTAATATAACAACTTCACTAATAAATTACAACCTTCAAATTACTAAAACTTTAATATAACAAATATTACTAATGTAAAACAACCTTCAAATTACTAGAATTCTAATATAAAACTTCAATAACGAAGAAAAATTTTTAAATTACTACACCTTTAATATATCAACTTCACTACTAAATAATAATATTCCAATTACTATAACTTTTGTACAAAACTTCAATAATGAATAATAACTCTCAAATAACTTGAACTTTAATATAGCAATTTTAATAACGTTAAAATAACTAATTTGAGCAATATCATGGTGCAAATTAAACTCATTTTGAACTTGAGTATACGATGCTTGGGTTCATCTTAAATGGAAATGTTTCTCAATTTAACAAATTTCTAAGGTTTCAACGTATTTTTATGATTTTATATTTCAACTTTTGTACTTTTTTTTATTATGTAGTACTTGGAGTAACACAAAAATGGCACTATTTTTAGGAACACTCAAATGCTTTGCGTGTAAAGGCATTATTTAAATAGTAAGCCAACTCAATTTTTTTTTCTCATTTTGTGAAACAAAGCTGTAAAATTTCTTAAATCTAATGACTGAGTCACAGTGACTCAGTGAATAGAGCACTAGCCACCCAGTGAGGTGAACCCTTGTTCAAATCCCAGCGATGGCTGGTCAATATGAATACCGCACTGGCTATCACTAATGACAGTGTTGACGTAAAATATCCTCAGTGAGAGACGGATTATGAGTTAGAGTCCCCTTGCCATCAGGCTAATCATGGGAGGTTATTGTGGTTTTCCTCTCCTTGTAACGCATATAGGATTAGTTTCATCAAAAGTTCCTCCAATAAGGCAAAGTTTTTTGAATACTTGATCCAGGAGTTCCCTTGTCTTCTGGATTGGATTCAAAATTACAAGACTACGGAGTTGAATATTGGTAGTCGTAAAATCAAAATTCTGTCGGCTACTCAACGACGGTTATAAAATAAAATAATCACTTATAGACAGAAATAGTGCCATTTGAAGATGTAAAACTCAAACAACTCAAAAAATCACACTTTGCTTTCAAACTAACATAATTATTACTTACATCGATGGCTCAAATTTAGAGGAGTTTAACAAGAACAATGAATGAAGCAGGGTTAGGAATTAGGTTTATTATTTTTGACACTTTAAACATTATGCAGACATAAACATATTGTTTTAAAACTCAAATTCATGATTTTCATTTATCGTTATTAACTAAATTTTAAGTAAAATATATTGACTAATTAAAAAGTATGTAGGCGCAAGTTAAGCTGCGAAACTAATTAAATAAAAAAATTAATTATTTTCATATTTATAGTAATAAATTTATCTGATAACTGAAACATTTGAATTGTAATAATAGTATTTTTTTAGAATATTACACACTAAAATAAACGTATTACGTAATGCATTTAGTATTTAACTTTTTGAATGAAATAATGATTGATGATTGTATATATGTATTTTTATATTAGATAATTAAAAAAAAATTCGAAAATAAAAAAGATTAGTTCTTAAAGATTTAGATATAATTTTTATTCCTCATTAAATATTATTACCTTCAATATTAATCCTTGCTGCTTAGTTTTTATTTTAGAAAAGAAATGTTAGTTTTAAATAAATTTTGGTCTTAAAAATTGGGCAAATAAAAGATTTAAAAAGGGAGAAGAAAAAAAAACAGTTATGAATAGAATGAAGAACTTTCACGACTTTTAGAAAAAGAACAAGGGTACATAATTCACCTACTAGACAATGTAAGAAAATGTTACCTCTACACCATTATGCTGTAACTATAATAATTATATATTACATTATGCAATATTTCAGAAGTTTTTGTGAAATTATTGAGAAAACTGCTACGGAGAAAAAGATCTAGCAAAATTTTAAAAAAATAATACATAGTTATTTTCTAATAAAAATATGTTGGATTAATTATGTAAAGGATGTGCATTTATAAAATATTGCGTTAGTATTTCCCATCAAATACTAATTCAAAATAAAATAACTTAATTCTGCAATACAGAAATATATCTCCTCTGATAGCCATTTTAAAATTTTTAACAGTTATTTTTCGTTTTCACCTTAATGAAAATTGTGATCCACCTTTTTTTTAGCTTTTCTTTCTTCTTTTTTTCATTTTTAGCTTATTTTTTCATTTTCAGCTTTTTTTTTTCATTTTTAGTTTATTTTTTCATTTTCAGCTTTTTTTTTCATTTTTAGCTTATTTTCTCATTTTCAGCTTTTTTCTTCATTTTTAGCTTTTTTTTTTAATTTTTTCACTCTTTTTTTGTGTATAAAAACTTAACCTTGTTTTTTATTTTCTTTTAGCTCTGGACCCACATACGAAGACCAATTGGTATAATCATTGGAATGTGCAGTCAGTTTGTTCTACTACCTCTATCAGCTTTCATACTAATTAAAATACTAGGTTTGGGCATACTTCACGCAACGGGACTTTTACTTTTGGCATGCAGTCCAGGTGGAGTCACGTCAAATATTTTTACCTATTTCTGTGATGGGGATATTTCTCTCAGGTAATACTACAAATAATTTTAGATTCCTTTTGTACCGAAATGATTGTCCAATTTTGGTTTCCATTTATATCGTAATAATCGTACTGTTTAAATTTTAATTTGTACCCAAATAATTGTCTTTTTCGGGGGAGTTTACTTTTAACAGAGTGAGTGCAAAATTTAGATGTGAAATAAAGTCATGTTGGATGCTAGTTTGAATTTTTATTTTCATCATAGTGATTTTCCGATTTAGGTGTTTATTTGTATCGTTATGACTGTCCGATTTGAGTTTTTACTTGCACAGCAGTGATTCACCAATTTGGGTTTTTGTCTGTATCGTTATGACTGTCCGATTTGGGTTTTTATTTGTACCCTAGTGACATTTGGGTACAATTTGGGTTTTAATTGTACTCCAATGATTGTCTGATACAGAAAAATCTCATTCATCTTGATTATATTTAAAAAGAAATATAATTTAAGGATTTTACTTCTGGTTAACAACACAAAGAAAAACAGGCTTGAATATATTTAACGATAGGCACTATATTTACGTAACTCTAGAGATGAAAAATGGGCTATTGGAGACAGTCTGGGAAACAGACTGAAGGTGATCCGGAGACATGTTCTTACAATATTAATCCTCCGCAGAGGGGTATTTCCGCTTTTGTAAGGCCCATTCCACAATTTAGACAAAGATCTAAAGGGGAAGGAAAAATTTTCTAGATCACCCATGGTACCGTTCAGAAACCAACTACAGAATCTTTGACTCCAAAAATTTTACGAGCGCGTATATCACATGTACTTGGTGGGTCTTAGCGTAATTGGGGTTCGGACCTCAGGACCAAAGGCCAATCCTCTAACCACTGGGCTACCACGGCTCTATAATTAATGAATTAAATTACTTGCATTAACGTCATTCCTAAATATTCATCAATCACTAAGAATATAAACTAAGAAGAATAACTTTTAAATAATGCATTCGAACTTGCATTTATTTCGTCCGCTTTCAAATTCCTAGTTTTATCGTTTTTTAACAGATGAGAGTGTTGAGATCCGCTTAAAAATTTCCGGTCCCACAGTAAACTAATCGTAAAGACATGGTTTCCCGTAAAACACCGAAGTCAAGCATCACTGGCTGCGATCAGTAAGTGGTTGGGTGACTATTTTGATCAGCCTGCCTAGGGACCGAGGGTGCGCGATATTGGTCCTCGTTAAACTGTTCTACCGTAAAGTGCTCGACTTCACTCGCAGGTCGTCGGGCTACCAAAGCAGAGGAGCCATTCCCTCTGTTGAGGATTAAAATTGCAATGACCTGTCTTCGGATCATCCTCAGGAATGTTTCCCATATCGTCGCCAATAGCCCATTGTGGAGCTCTAGTGCAACTTTAATAAAGTACCTACCTAAGCATTTCCGAATTTGTATTCGTAATGGATAAGTGTAACGTACGTGACAATGACATTTTAAGTCAATGGCAGAACTCCCTGTGATTTTTTATTAAATTAAAGAAGTTGAAGAACTTTTACAGAAGTATGATTGACGTTAACTTTATGGTTATGATCTTCAATACTGGAGTTTATGTTTTTATTTCGATTATTTGAACAATAAAATCAAATGGGACAAACATTTTGTTACGAAGAGAGTATACTAAACAGTAAATTATTATTTATGTTTTTAATTTATGTATCATTTTTCATTTTTTATAGTATAGCTATGACTACGTGTAGTACACTTGTAGCCTTAGGTATGATGCCTCTCAATCTTTACATGTATGGGCAATCTTTAAATCAAGAGAATGTTGCTATTCCATACGGGAAAATGGCCTTGACTCTAGTTGCAGTGACATGTCCAGTCATGTTAGGTATGCTCGTTCACTGGAAATGGTCTCGGGTTGCAGGCTTTTTGACAAAGGTAGGAATATAATATCTTTAACTTCATTTCTTATTTAATGCTTCTGCTTCAGACATAAAAGAACAGTTAAATAAAGCATAAAATCAGTTAATAAAACTTGATTTTTAACTAGAAACTAAATCTGGAATCACAGTTTTGACTTCCTAGATTAGAACAGAGTTTCTAAATTACGAAAAAAGTAATAACTAACACAGATTTGAAGAGAATTATTTTAATTTTCTCATATTAGCTAATATTCTATATCTGATATACTAACTCTGAAGTTACAGTTTTGATTTCCTGAATTAGAACAGTGGTTGTAAATGAAAAAAAAAGTAATGACTAATACATGTTTGAAGAAAATTATTTTAATTTTCTCATATTAGACTATATTTTCTCTTAAAATTGATATGTAGGTTAGGTTTTTTCCAATATATCTATTCTTCAAGTTTTTGTTAATTGTGGTTGTCGCGAATATATAGTTTTTCTCAGAGACAGACACAACTCTACAACTTTGTTCCCACTTTCATCTCTGTAAAAGCATTTTCCTAAAATTTTTGAGCAACTCCAGCTTTTAAATTTCATCTGCTCTTGGGCAGGGTAGAGAAAAACATTTATATTTTCGGACTTTTTCATCTTCAAGAAAAGTAAATTATATGTTTAAAAATATATCATCTCTTGCTATTTATTTAATATTTTCTGAAGGTACTAAAATAAGTTTTACATAAAAATAGAAACCCTACTTATTATACCGCTTAACCGAAATAGTGGTATTACGGAATCCGACCGCAGCAGTCATTGCCCGAAATTAAAATTTAATCAAATTTCTGTAAATTTTTAATATGCGTTTAGGGTTTAATTTTTTGATATGTAAAATTTATTTGGGGCAAAATTTAACGTTCAAGACTAAAATATATATTTTCATAAGAAATTTCAGACGCTGAAAACTGATATGTGTATGGAAATTATCGGACAAAAATCGGAACGTTCATCTGTCAAAATATAAGTTTTAAACATGCATAAAATGTATAAAAATAGTGGCTTAAAATTTCTCGAGTTTTAGTGATCTCATAGTTAAAAAACATAATATAGAGGCAGTAATTTATGCAAAAAATCCTTTTTATTTCCCCTCTGTTGTACAATTTCTATCTTCAAATTTGTATTTTCAATGCGAAAATAAATACAATAGTAGAAAGCGTTCATCGTAAAAAAGATTATTAGCATTCGGAAAGTTCAAAAGGGGATATCATTGTGCTTTAGAACCATCATTGACGTGAAAGTTTACCCCGCTTACCATCGTTGATTCCAGTTTTTGTTCGCAATATTTCTCTGAAATGTAAATGTAATTTTGCGTAAATTAAATGGCTGGGATTACCTGTTTGAGAGGGCGTTGGTCCATGTCTAAGTGATGGTGAGTTCGATCGAAAGACTCCTCGTGTAGTAAATGGTGACTGGCGCACGTTAAATCTGTTAGGTCACAAAGTCCTCCAACTTCCCATAACAAATCGATACCTCTGGGGGTACTGAATCGGAGATTGATCGTTCTCTGGTTCAGGTCAAAATTACGATCAGTGGGTGTAGGAATGGGTCCGCCCTTTAAAACGAGTTGTGACGGGTGTGTTTAGCTGGAGTTGTATTCTTGGCCATAGATGGCGCCTCTGAAAAACAAGAAACTCACCCTCTGTTTTAAAAATTCGCTTGGTTCAACCAAGCAGGCTTGCTTATATAGCAAGTCGCACTAGAAACAACAGCAACGTAAATTAACAACAATCCATGATTTGAACTTCAATAGTCTTCTTACATTTGACGTTCTACAGTGCTTTAAAAACAACTAGCCTACTCACTTTCTCTTGGAAATTTTTCAAGTAAGTAAGACATCCAAAATCAATACTCAAATTAACGAACATTCTAGACAGGATTGCATAAAAGGTACAATTTTTTTTAAAGTACCAGTCTAACTAACGTGACTTGAATTTGGAAACCGTTCATATTATTAGGTTTATCAGAAAGTTCTGTTTTTGAAGGAAATAAAATTATACATTATCCGAAAGCATGATTCGTTTCCATGATAGATCGCACATTTCTGATCTGAACGGTTTATCGCGTTTGATTTATATTGCATTTTTTGTCGTTCAAAATCCAATACGGTTTTGATATACGATGTTTTTAACATTATAGACATCGATCTGAGAGGTTTTTTTTAGAACCATAATACTTGTCACTTAAAACGAAATCACCAATTTCAAACTTTTCGAATCATATTCAGCAGGCTCTGAAAAAAGCTAAATACGTCTACCAAATGTTTATACACTTCTGTTGCACTGTGATCTGTATTGCAATTCATACAAAATGTAATGCCTTAAGCGCATATTTCATGGACAAACATTTTTTTCTCGAACGAAATTCACCTTCTTTTGAAAATTTAAAATCATAGTTGGTACATATTAGCTATTAATAAGCTTTCTAAAAAGTTTGAAATTTGTTTTTATTAACTATTTTTAAAGTTTAAAGTGTCTAAAACACGGTTATAAACTTTTAACGTATGTAATTTCATTCATTATATCACTTTTGGGAGATCAAGTTCTGATACGCAGCAAAGTAACTCGAAACTTTAAATTTATTTTACCCAATGTCATATTTAACTCTGTTGACATCTTACAAATTTCAGTCTTCATCTAATGTCATTGAAATTCCTAGCAGTCGCAGTCCGTAGCACATTTGTCCACTAACCTTGAGCTTCTACCGATCGGAAATTTATTTAATAATAATTTTTCTATCACTTTCAAAAGTGAAGAATATTCTGTTAGAACTTCGCACTCTAAACTAGAATTGCAACAAATTAATTTTTTTTATAGAATTTCAGATGTAAGAATCTATACGAAAAAAAAGTTATGCTTTGATCTACACTGGTAGTATACTTAGCTTGAATAAATTTATTTGAAAATTACGCCTTGGTAGAATGTTACGATTTCTTTTTACATTTGATATAATCCCAGTTTCTTTTAACACGTTCAGCGCCGCGTCAGCCATCTGTGACAGACACTGGACTTTCCATTTAGGCTGCGTCAACCACTGGTGGCTGACACTCAAATTACATTTAGGCTGCGTCTGCCACCGCTTGCTGACGCTGACCTTTCACATAGGCCGCGAAAAACAGCTGGCTGGCAGCGTATAACGTGATATAGAACTATAAAATTTACACTCTTTTATAGAATTGCAGAAAATGTATTCAAAATTTACTTAATTATTGTGATTCTTGGTTTAATAAATTCAATTTAGTAGATTTTTATCCACCACTATTTCTAAACAATTCGTAGGCATGTATAATCCACTACTTTTTTCAGATATGTCATGCTGAACCTTTTATAAACTAGCAAAATCTGTCTATATTTGCAAATTTAGTTTGTAGCAATTTACCGTGAGGCCAGACGAGCAAGCCATGTAAAATTAGCGTGGCATTCAACGTGTCAAATATATGTTTGTTGACCGGCAATTGAAAAACAATGAAAAAGAGCATATACAGTAAAGCAGCCTTGAATATTTTAAATTGTGTATGCATTCAATCGTGTTGAAACTTGTTAAAAAAATAATGAACAGAACTTTCCAGTAAACCTAGTCTTGGCCTAAATTTAAAGGAGTATATCGCTGCTTCAAAACTGAAACGACACATCTGCAGGCATAATACGTTTGCAGATATGTCGTTTTAGTTTTGAACCAGCGATATTATTAAGTAGGTACGATTGTTATTTTTTAGATTTATTGATGTATTAGATCAAATTATTCTGCTGTGGCAAAGGTTTGTAAATTCTTATAAAGTTTTATGTGTCACAAGAAATTTTCTGAAATTAGAGTTGTTAAAATCCTTGTAAAATAAAAGAAAATATATATTTTGGCGAAATAACTAATTATATTGATTTTTCAAATTTTGTAAAAGTGGAGAAACTTAACATCATTGGAAATTGATCATTAATCATCCATTATTTCGATGGAAATTATCTTTAATTTTGCAAACATTCAATTGTATAATTGATTTATATCTGCACGATGCATTCTCACAAAAAAGTAATCTACGTGTGAAGTCGTATTACTACTCAAAATATTTGCTACTTAACAATTTATTCGTGGCTGGTTTACGCAGTTGGTTGGTCGTCGGCCTTCTGAGCCCAAGTCTGCGGGTTCGATCCCCTGCCCAGACACCGGATTTTCAGGATGCATAAAATCCTCAGCGACCGTGTCGTATGATTATGCAGTATGTAAAAGATCCCTGGAGTGCCTTATTGGCTTTTGGCATTTCTGGCGAAATTAAATTCCTAGTGCACTTTAGCATCCAAATAGAGTCTCGGTGCAGCCATCTAGTGTGGCAGAAACTAGACGTCCAAATTAACAGGGCCAACGGTATCTCACCCATTGTGGATACCACTTCTATAATAGAGAACGTACTAGGTCTGCTCACCGGGAAGACTGATTGTGCAGCTCATAGGAAATAAGTAAAACAATTTATATTAAATATAAATGTTTTATTAATTTCCCATAACAAAACGAAAGAAGTAGAAATGTTTCCATAAATCTTTTTCTAGGGATAAAATTTTATTAAAATCAACTTATTATGTTATCCTATGGCATTTTATTAATTTTGCTGTCTATGGTTCTTATAACATCAATTACATTTTGATAATACTATGATATGTTTGTTGTCTATGATTTTTATAATATAAAATGTATTTTGATAATATAATGATTCAATGATATTTATTCAATGATTAATCATGCAATGAAATAAAAAATCCTTTGAAATACTCAATTTGTTATTACAGATTGGCAGCTATGCTGGCTTGGCGATAATTGTTGTTTGCCAGACGATGGAATTTTTTATTTTTCCAGATATTTTTCGAAATGTTCCCTGGCAGCTCTATCTTGCAGTTGTTCTTCTTCCCTGTCTAGGGTTTTCTCTTGGATACAGCTCAGCTTGGGTATGTCGACAGAAACCTCAAGTAAGACGAACGATTTCGATTGAAAGTGGCGTTCAGAATGTTGGCACGGCCCTAACAGTAGCATCCTTATCGTTTGATTTTAATGTAAGTTAAATTCACATTAATATTGAATTATTATTTTTAATGGTGAGCACTTGGGATTTATTGTCCCATTGGCCTCTTAATGGCAGAACTGCTGCTCTCTTTTCGTTACCCAGTAGGCACCTGTGGCGAAGCCACGGTGGTGGAGCAGCGTCGCCCACGTCACACAACCACAAACCCGTTGATAGGGCGGGTCACATTCACACAATCACACAAAGGAGAAAGAAAGAGAACACAGAGAGAAAGAAACATCCATGCCCTGAGCGGGATTCGAACCCGCAACCATCGGCTCCGCAGTCAGGCACGCTAACCACTCGGCCACCTAATCAGCATATTGAAATTTTTTTCCCAATGGCAGGCATCGAACTTTATTCGTTTCACCTTAGAAGATCCCAGAGTTGTTACTCATTTCGCGTTACTCAGTGGGCACCTGTGAACCATAGTCACGGAGGCGAGTAACACTGCCCACGCCACACTGCCACAAACCCGTTTATAGGGTGGGCCACATTCATACATCACACACAACAGAAGACAACACAAGAGAGAGAAACATCCATGCCCAGAACGGGATTCGAACCCGCAGCCATTGGCTTCGCAGTCAGGCGCGCTAAATGCTCGGCCACCTGGCCGACACATATTGAAATATAAACATCATTAAAAAGTATGCGGTTGAAATACTCAACAAAAATGAATCGACAATGCAAATGTCAATGTTAACAGACTAATTTCATAATTTTGAACCCAATCCAGAAGGCAAGGAAACTCCTAGATAAAGTATTGGGAGAAATTTGCCTTTGCGGTGGACTTTTTAATGGAACTAACCAGCATTAGCCTTACATGGTGAGGAAAATCACGAAAACCTCCTACGGATAGCCTGACAGCAAGGGGATTCTAACCCATGATCCGCCTACCATTGGGGATATTTTACATCAGCACTGTCATCGGTGTGAGCCGGGTGCGGAATTAGTATCGACCAGCCATTACTGGATAATATTAATGCCTTATTCTTATACACTCTCAGAAATAAAACTGTCACTTTTGACGATTCAATAATCCTTAAGCTGAATTTCGCTATTTTGAGAGTCAGTTCGTCACGAAATCACATGATATATGATAGAACGCGAACTCTCAAATATATGACGAAAATGTTTCTTCAACTCTGGACAAAACTAGAATGAAGTCTATACAATCGATAATAAAGTAACGAAACGAGTCAACCAGCTGTATGGTGGTCAAGGAGTTGGCCTCGTACCTGGTTCGAATCCCGCTTAAGGCATGTGTGTAATTTATATCTCAGTTCTTTATCAGCCCTACTCGTGTTGTTTAGGCAATGCTGTTTCCCTTATACAGTGCCCACGATAAAGTGGTTATTAGAAAAGTTAGATACCTTAGACTGTACGAGTTTTTTTTTCCCCCTATTTTTTTGGAAAAGAATAGAATGACAAAATATTTCTTTCATTTTCACGAAATTCCTTTTCCTTGAAGAACTGCCGATATGAATTTTGTCAATTATTTCACCACTTTGGTAAAATGTTTGTTTGGAGCATATACCAGGAAATGGTTTCATCAGGAACGAAGCAAGTTTCGTAATATTTGCGAGTGTATTTTACAGTGTAACCAACCATATGCTCCTGAGCTCGTAATTTTGAAGAGTTTTAAAATGACGCTTAACATGCTCTTCCGATTACTTCTCTGCAACTATATAAGCGTTTTTAAAATTATGTCAAATTTTATAACTAAGAAAACTCGTAAGTATCACGTAAGGTAATAATAGACACAGCCGTTCCCCATTTCCCAATATCAGTAAAACAATTAAATTTTCTTATCGTCTTAAAACTATTGCAGAAACTCCATTCTTTTTCTAAAAATGTTTAGTTTGTTAATCTGTTTAAAAAAGTGTCAAGGTTCTGTCTTAATTGCATTGATAACGATTCCCACAAAAACAAATTAAGAATATGAAAATTGTTGCAAACTCATTACTTAGACGCGAAAACCAGAAATAAAATGTGGTCGCTCGTCCGCTTTAGAAAACTGCTGAAGCGAATAATTTCACAATCAGTTACATTAATTGTCTCATTGTGAACGTAAGCAATTATTTATATCATTGTTATTTCTCTTCCAAAGCAATCATTTATTTAACTTATGTAAATTGAATAAATTGTTTTGTTAGAAATCGTAAAAGTTTTTGTACCAATAAATTATCCGAAATAAAGAAAATATTGATATCGCTCAGTAACTACTCTAAATTTATTTTTATACTAGATATCGTTATCGATGCGTTGTAACCTTTGTCACGCAAAAAGATGGCTGGTTTCCTTCACATCCACAAGGTTTATTTTAATCCTTATGAATTATGTAAATAATACTAATGATCAGAAGCAGGAAACTTAACGAAATTATGTGAGATTTGGAAAAAAGAATTTCCTAACTTTAACATATTTCAATAGATCATTTTTTTAAAAAAAACAAACAGCAAAGCGTCACAAAAAGAATTGATAGATGTTTTTTAAATCATTAATGAATTTAGAATATTTTCATACACAGGATGTTTATGAAATAATTTATCCGACGTATGAACCTTTGGTTTGTGGGAATCGCAAAGAATGCGATTCGTTTCTTTATTGTTATTTATCATCCAAAGCAATTATTAATTAACTTATGCAAATTGAATGAATTGTTTTCTTGGAAATCGTGAATGTTTTTGTACTAATAAATTATCGGAAACAAAGAAAATGTTGATATCGCTCAGTAACTACACTAAATTTATTTTTAAACTAGATATCGTTATCGATGCGTTATAGCCTTTGTCACGCAAAGATATGGTTAGTTTCCTTCACATCCACAAGGTTTATTTTAATCCTTATGAATAATTGAACGGTATGCTCGTCAGGTTTTATACGTCTGTAAAGTTATTTTAAATCACTTTACACACAATCTTTATACGTATAATATGTGGACTAAAACATAACTAGTGTCTGCCATGCTTTAGGAGTTAAAAGTTTCGAAATCATTTTAATAAGTAACAAGTCAAAACAATAAGCAGGTATTAATTAAATTTAAATAAAATATAGGTATGCTACCCCTCCAACGTTGCAATCTAAATTTACAGAAAAGAATAAGATTAAAATTGGAGTATTTTAATTATTTTAAAACTATCGTAGACTTACAAGGGTGTATTTTGCGATGTTTTATATCTTCTCAAGCAAATCTGTTGCTAAGCAACCATTGGAAAAATCTGTTATCAACGGAAGAATTTTTTCAAACTCTTCTCAGTTGCCAAATAGTGAAAAAGAATTTAATAAATTTTCCCCGGAAAAGTGATTTATTTCGAGAAATTTTTCCTCACTATCTAGGGGTGTCTCTTTGGTAGGGTCTAAATTGTACTGCCCTACCAATTTTCTAATAAAATACAATTAACCTTCCTTTTACGTTCGCTGTCTTGTAAAAGTTTCTAAAAACTTTTGTATTTTCAACTTTTAAATACCGTGAATAGACCAGCAGACAAATTTCAATAACTTTGTTTTAGTGTAGACCATCGGTTTCCAAATGGTGCTCCGCGGAATCCTGTGGTTCCGTGGAAGAGTTAAAAGGGTTTCAAGGGTTAATAATGCTTTAAATTTTTTTTTTTTTTTTTACATCTTTGAAATATGTAATTGTACTTAAATCCAGTCAATAATCCATTATTTAATTCTTATTTTGATTGCCTTTATGAAATTATAAAGAAAAATAAATAAGAAACTGAATATATAATAAAGACAATATTATAATATATAAGGACAAAATATTGCAATAGTATTTCACATTGCGCTAATCAGATCAAGATAAAATAACTTAATTCTTTAATAAAGAAATATTTCCCTAATAATAATTTTAAACGCTGATAACAGTTCTTTTCTTTTTATAACAATATAAATACAAATCGTTAGCTTTACTATATTTATCTGAAAGACAGCTAATTCAACTGTCTTACATAAAACCTAATTTAAGATAATTAATAATAAAACGATTAAAAAATTTAATTCTTGGAATATAATTCTTATCGAATACAATACTTATTCATGGTATATAATACTTATGAAATACAATACTTATTCATGGAATATAATACTTATGGAACTTATGAAATATAAAAAAAAGTTAAAATGTCAAAATGAAGTAGTTTTTTAATGGTTAATAAGTACACAATTGTCTTTATTTACTTTAATTAAGCANTCATAAAAAGCAAACGATCTGATTGGTTCATGAAAGAAATTGCCTGAACGGTTGCAGATATTTCGTGCAACCGTAATTTCTATATCACACGAGCAATTTTTGGAGAAATTTCACTTACAGTTGCACTTACACTTGCAGTTGCACATATTTTCTCTCGTGTGATATAGCCATTATTTACGGTTCCGTAGAAGAAGAAAATTGGGAACCGCTGGTGTAGGCATTATATATACAAAATGCTTGAGTCAATATAATAATAAGCCACAGGTCAGAGCAGTGTTTTTGATAAAGCACAATACGATTTTCACTTAGGTAGTAAATGTCTCTGTGTGTTATGCTGTTATCTCGCTAAAATTCCAAAGAAATATATCGCTCTGGAAACAATACTGAGGAACAGTTTAAAGTAAAACTTTCGTCTTTATTATTCATAATTAAGTCATCATTGATATTTGTTAATTTGACAACGTCACATTAAATAATACGCAAGTTTGAAAAGGAAATAATATCAAAAAATTGAATAATCCCCCCCCCCATCTAGTAACCTTTTACATAATGAACTTCCATTGTAATCTACATTTAGTTATGATGAATTAAAGGGACCACGTGCGGTTATTTTGATTGGTCAAGAATAAATGCGAAATAAATAGTTTGGTAAAAGTAGCATGTCTATTTTTAAGTTACAAAAAAATATTTATTTACTTCTTCAAACGCTAATTTAAATTTAGAAAGAAAAAAAGTCTCGTAATTGGAATAACAAATTATTTTGGCCTATTTCAATTAACCTTGGTCTTAAGCTGAAAAAAATCATTTGGGCAATAAATTAGGCTTATATTTTTCTTTACATAAAGAAAGAAAGCGCTAAACTCCTGACGTTATACTCTGAGAAAGAAATACTATATTTTTAAGCTACGGGTTAAATTTTGATATTTTTCCAAAAAAAAAAATTACGCAATAAAGATCAAAAATAAGAGCATTTAAAAAAAATTTCATTTGTGATTGAGTTGACTAATCAAGCCATTGAATAGCTGAAAAGATGTGCTATATTTCATTCCTTAGAAATATGTATCACAGTGTTACACATTGCATAACACGGTGTTTAGAACACATTGTATAACACAGTGTTTAGAGCACATTGTATAACAGAGTGTTTAGAACACATTTTATAACACATTGTTTAGAACACATTGTATAACACACTGAGAATACATTTAGAACACATTGTATAACACAGTGTTTAGAAGCGTACAGTGATTAGGCTCGTACCAGTAATCATAGGCATCTTGAGAATTTTTGAAAGGCGGCGCAAATTACTGCAGTGTATATAGAGAAAAGTGCGATAAAACCTAAGGGTAAAACCGGGTAAAGATTCGAAGGGCTGTCGGACCTAAACTGTTCAACCTAGAAACTGCTAGATTTAATCAAGATACGAGTATTCACCGTTTAGTTGTATACACTATATCATTCTTAAAAAGTCATAGATGTACTACTTTGTTTATAAATGATTTTTTTTTTCTAAAAAAAGTCAAACCGTCTGATCTTACCCCACTTTTGGGGTAAGATCAGAAGTGGGGTAAGACCGGGGTGTTTAAACGTCAAAAGTGAATCCGATTTTACCCCAGTAGTGAGGTAAAATCGGATTCTCTTTTTATTAACGCTATGGGAAATTTAGAATTCTAGAATTTCACTGAAAAAGTAACAGACCTTCCTATTTTACTTGACAATTTAAGAAAATTATGCATGTAAATTTTTACAAGATGTATTTAACCTTTTCAGGAAGTCATAAATGTGTTCGTACGGAACCAGAATCAGGATGGAAAAAAATAAAAAGCGGTAGCTTAAGTTTGGAGAATGCTTATTTTTTATAATTTAACAGTTTTATTTTTGCTTTCACTTTAATTCTAACATATCTAATTAATGTTAGTTCAAAGTGTAAATATATCATTTTTACTTTGAATTAAGTAGTGATATATTAAGTAAATCAAACTATTATTGCTCCTCCCCCCAAATAAACTGATATAAAAATATTTTGCCTACCAGATTTATGTATTTATTTATTTTTACCCTGATTGCCGCCACCCTGAGAATGCAAATATGACTGTCTCGAACAGGTTAAGGTCGTGACACCCGATGACTGAGTGGTAGCGCTTCTGCACACCGGTCCTTGGTTCGATCCTCTGGCCGGGCAAGATTGACTCAGCCTCGATAAAATGAGTACCAGGCAGGCTTGGGGACTAAACCCTGGGTCAAAAAAACTGAGATGGTCACTATAAGCCTTGATCCTCTATGGACTGTCCCTCCTTTAGTTTTATTTAAGGCCGTATTCAAGGCAAAAAATCTCATTGCAAAAGTTGTGAAGAAAGGGGAACTAGTTACGCCATCTCTTAGCAGTATTCAGAAATACAAAAATAATCGTGGGATTTTAAGAGACGCGTAAGTAGCGACGAATTCAATTTCAATGATGCAATTTCTTCATCGCCTGGCATGCGACGCCGACCATACAAGGCACAAAACGCGTATGAGAAGCGACGCCGACAGAAAAAGAGTTAATTTTGAGATTTTCCTTATAAAAATTGGTTTAAAAATTTAGCATTGTAAATGTCACATTTTTAACTACGATATTTCTCTTTGTTTTAGGATTTAGACAAAGTGCTTCTTTTCCCATGGTTGTATGCTTTCTCCATGACTGGTGTCTGTATTGTAATTTCGGCATTATACCAAATTTATGTACGTTACAGTGATATATCTAAATCTGTTGAAACACTTCCTGGTAAGCTGAATATATTGAACAATATTATTTTAACGTTATAATGACAGTTCGCGAGTATGCAAGTAGTTTATCTGCTATTATATGAAATCTGCAAGTAGATTATAATGTATACAATGCATGTAATTAAAGTATAATGTAGAATTCGAATGATAATTAAGTTTACTAAGTGTCCTAAATTAAACAGTTTGCAAAAAACTATAAAAAAAAAAGGATGATAAAGATTGCAAAAAAAAGAAAACAAATTTATGTGACAGGCTATAAATTTCTCCTTCTTAAATTATCTTCAGATAAACGAATTAATTATCAATCAGATAATCAAGATATCAATCAGGTTATCAATTCACATAAACAAAACGAGAACGAGATTTTTGACTAATGACTTGCATTGTTGTTTCTGAGCATTGATCAGTAGCGGAGAGCAGATGTAATAAACTTCAAAACAGGTTTCATTGGAGGTTGGAACTTGAAAGTGTTACAAATAATCATCTTTCAATTCCTCCTGTAATCAAACCTGCCAATACTCAATCCTGCCTGTACCGTGATTTGACAGGTTTCGAATGTTTTTGCTTTTTTCCTCGATTAAATATGAATTTGTGCTCCCCAATGTGAACACTTTTTGTTTTCATTTTTGATGAGGATTCTAAATATACATATTAAGAGCCATCTTTACGGAACACCCCCTAAATAAAGTGTATCAAAATCAATGTAATCTTATTGTTTTTTTTAAAGAAAAATTCAGTAAAATTACAAAAAATATTTTTAAAAGAATCTTTAATATCTTGCAACACAATTTTATTTAATACAGTACAGAAACTTTATCTAATGGTTTAACAAGATTCTAGTAACAAATAAAGAGATTTGTTACCTCATAGAATAAATTAGCAATTAATAATTTCAAATGTTTTTCAGTTATTATTTTTTTTAAATATTCTAAATGAAATACTGAAAATAATTTATTGTTTTCATTCAGCCGAAAGAGAAGTTGCAGAAATACGTTATGCTGAAGAAGGTGGGAAATCAAACAAGGGCTACGTTGGTGATTCTACTAAAATGTGATGAACCAGAACAACAAGGTTAGTATAATCATTCTATGATCTATATATAAAAAAATTTAACTAATGAAATCAAACGATAATTTTAAAATGCAATTCAACTTTCGATTACAAAAAGAAAAAAATCGTTTTCATTATATGATTGCAATCAAAAAATTAATCGTATTTTACATTTGTAAAATATTTGAAATCATACCCAATTGAAAAACACACATTGATATATTTTGCAAATTGATTGGGAAAAGTTTTTTTCAATTGTTTTTAGTCACTATTTGCTATTTATTATCTTTATAATCCTAAAAATTTTGAGCTATTAGGTATGCAAACTTTTACCTCTCCTTCCACAATGTGCCTTAATTTCCAAATCCAAATTTTAAGCGAAATCGATTGAATAAATCCTGAAAAATAAATGATAAAAAAGTCACATTTTTAAGTCACGTAATGGAATAGATTTCTTAAAGTCAGATTAATGAATTTTAAAAATCGAGACAACAATCTTAAATTTTTCCATCATATTTTTACTAAAAACTTCGAAAGTTCTATCAAATATATTTGCATGATGTCCCACGATCATTAATTAACCTTAATTATAAAGGAGATTACTAAAAAAAAACAGAGTCAAAAATATATACTATGTGTAACACAAAATTATTAGTTAATGAAGGCAAAAGAACATCCTCAAAATCCAACGAGCCACTGTCGAGATTGATAAGTAAAAAAAGGAGTATTAAAATCATCAAAAACTAGTTTATTTGTCGAATGAAGCTGAAAAGTCACATCTGAAACCACCTTCTAGTTTAATGCTGAAAACAAACTTGTTTTTGATTATTTTAATCTTTCCTTTGTTGTTGACGTATGCCTGTTTAGGCAGAGGGGGTGCTATTGTTCTTGTTTTCCAGTGGAGCTATCAATGGCCAATCTTTCCTTTGATTGACCTTAATAATAATTCGTCAAATTTTAGAAAAAAAAAATTTCCCTCTCCCTTATATATTGTGTATAAAAACCCTAGTAGCAAAATAACTTGGACCCTCATTGGAACAACATTCCCCAATCTTGGCTCAATAAGGGTTCAAAGGGCCTATTTTTTTCCGATATGGACCCCATATAGAATTCCCCCATATAGAACTATTCACCCGATATTTTATTGCCACTTTACAACCAACATCGGCCCTATATAGAATTGTCAGATTCACCCGATATTTTATAGTCATTATTCAGCCAATATAAAACCTATGTTGGCCCTATATAGGCCGATAATGACACGGCATAGGACCAATATTTTAAAATCTAGACATCCCAATATTGGTCCCTCAGAGCACGTTCACATATTGAGCCGATTTTGGGCCCAAGGTATAATTGTTGCTAGGAAGGCAGACGCATCTAAGGATAAGAGTTGGACAATCTTTAATGAAAACCCCAACTATGTTCGAAATGCCCCAAAAAAAGCAGCTTTGGCTGGTTTTAGACTTTTAGCTGGGCATGACTGTCTGAGGTTTCACCTCTTTCGTATCTGCGTAGTCGATTCACCTGACAGTTCTCTTCTTGACTCCAGTTTTCCTGTGATTGCTGAACATTTAAACGTGTGCCCCTGTGATTGCTGAACATTTAAACGTGTGCCCAGCACTTCTGAATTTTAATTGCACAATTGAAAAATACTGGAGAACACGAACATTACCGGCATAGGTGCTATTATTTGCAATAGCTTGTGGCATTTGCTAAATGAATAAGTATATTGAGTATCTTTTACTTAATTTCTTTTATAAAGATTCTAAAAATATATAATAAAGATGGAAATAAACGTTCTAAAACTTTCAAATATTCATTATTTTTAATCTTTACAGGTCAGGTGATATGAGAACAATACTCAGAAAAATGGAACCAAAATATTAGTTTGAAACACATAATGAAAATGAAGAATGTGATGAATACCATCAACTAGAAAGAGCAAAATATTATTCATTTGAAGCTAACAATTTTATTCAGTTATACCTAAGTGTTCCTTCATTTCGTTATTGTGCATATATGTTTACACTTTCATATTTGTCATTTCATATGAGATAGTGATGCTTTTAACGAGTAACACGTTTACAATTCATCACAATAGATGTTATGTGATAGTATTTTTTCGTTTAAATTAAGTGCCTTTTTCATAACACTTTGTATTATACGTTTATTTTGTATTATGTAAATAGCTCTAATGTAACTCTGTAACCTCAATCATTTTTTCAATTGGATCTGAAAGTATTTATTAAATTTCTTATACTTGTGTACTTTTGAATTCATATTTTTGACCTTACAGTTATATAAGTGCCAGTAAACTTTATATTCATTTTTCTTTACCGTCAAAATCATATACTAGGAAATATGACAAACGAAGCAACCATAAAAAGAATTGGTGATCAAATCACGTAATGTCCCATTGACATTCTATTAAGGTAAATGTCCAAATGAAGATAGCTTTGTGCTATCTATGAATAAGCACAAATTTATGCGCAAAATGGACAAACTATATTTTTGATTCTATAAACAAGAACTTTTTTCGACACTTTTTTTGTTATTTTGACTCTTAGGAAAGTTCTTGTTTATAGAATCGAATCTATAATATGTTAATTTTTGCCTTTTTATAAAGAAATATATTCACGTTGCTTTGCTTTATTCATTAGCCTAAGTGGTTCGAAATACTTTAAACAAAGCAAAACTCTTATAAAAACACACTTGTAATCTCAATATGTGTCCCAAATAAAGGTGGGCAACCCTACTTTGGGACAAAACATTTAAAAAATAGGACTCCTGTGCAACCAATACGATATTTATTTAAGTTTTGATATGCTTTAAATATTCATTTATCACTAAACTTGGAAATACAGTAATACTTTCTACTAATACATTCTCGGGACCAAAAGTTTTGTCCTTTAAATGGAGGCATCCGTTATTCAGAAAGTACATAAAAACTAAATTATGTAATTCAATTGAAAATTCAGACTCACAGATTTTAACTTTTTATGCAGTCTGCTTCGCATTACGTATCTACTAGTTTTTCTTCGCCATAAATAGTAATAATTATCCTTTAAATAGACGGTTCCTTTATTTAGAATTGTCCCTTACATGAGGTATTACTAGAACTAAATGTTGATTTTTGGCGCTAATGATAAGAAACTTTTCTTTATTTTGTGGGGAGAGAAGTTACAGACCATGCCAACCTTTATCTATGAAAAGGTACCCCATCATAGAATCGAGTTAACACGTCTTATATACTAGTGAATTGGAATTGTATTTTTGTAGTGGTAGACACACTACAGTACTCCCCCACCAGAATTATATCTGTGATAGAATTCGATGAACAGATACCACTAGTTGATTTATCGCTGTTTTGTGAGAAGCCGGAAGAGCTGTAGTAAGATCACAGTCGTAGTCGCTCCTGTGTTACCATTAGCAGTCGAGTGTATGCAAGCCGACGTGTGATCGAGACTGAGTAGCAACAGCGCGAGGAGGTGGATAACGTCGCAGTCACAAATAGCAAGTCAACTGTTCAATGTGGACCATCCATTAAAGTAAGGCTGTTCAAATCGAAGTGGGCGTTACTGTCAGGAAAGGCGTGATCAGATTTAAGTGGGAGTTTCTGTCAAGGTAGGCATATTCATATCAAGTCCGGGTCACCAATGTGGGGCAGGTAGCTCTCGACCATGTCAACCGTCATCTATGAAAAGGTACCTCATCATAGAATCGGTTTAACACGTCTTATATACCTACTAGTGAACTGGAATTGTATTTTTGTAGTGGTAGATACATAAAAATTTAATTGCAGAAGGAAGGTAAGCAAAATGTTCACCTTTGTTATCGATTTTCAGATCGAACCTGACACCTCTGAACTAAGAGCCGCAATGCCCTAACCTCATAAAATAGAGTATGTAAAGTTAGAAGGATTTATATAGAGTTAACAAATAGATTTCTTTTTGTTGAACCTTTCGGCCGTTTTGGATATTGCAGCAAAATTTTTGGCTGTTGCTATAAAAGTTTTCCTAAATATTTGCTGCAACAGAACATTACAAATTTTTATTTCCCGGCTACTTCTTTTAAAAAATGTTCTTGTAGTTCATTTACGTCGCACTTGAGCTACACAATGGGCTATTGGCGACGGTCTGGGAAACATCCCTGAGGATGATCCGAAGACATGCCATCACAATTTTGATCCTCTGCAGAGGGGATGGTAGCCCGACGACCTGCACGCGAAGTCGAGCACCTTTTAAAAAATACTATAACAATTCTATTACCCTTTATCTAAACATATTTATTGAAAAAATTTATACTTGTAACCACAATCATTCTTAAGATTGAATTTAACTTTATTTATTAAATTTCCTATTTTTTGAATTTATCAACTAGTATATTTGGCCCCACAGTAGTATCCATACCAACAAACTCTATTCAATTCAATTTTCTTTACCGTCAATAACCACGTACGTGAAACAGGAGATCCTAACTTCACATAAATTAGTATCCTTTAAAAAAATTTTTATGTTTATTTTGAAGAGAGTTGCACAGTCATCAAAAAGTAGCGAAGAATTGGTGATGAAATTTTGCTTTAATAATCTCAACCGCATAATTTCTCAGTGACATTCTATTATAATCTAAGTGATCCAAAATACTTAAAACAAGATAAAAAATATCAAAGGTAGCTGGGTATTTTATTTACGTCGCACTAGGGATTATTGGGGATAGTCTGGGTAACTTTCCTGGGGATTATCCGAAGACATGCCATCACAATATTGATCCTCTGCAGACAGGATCGCAATTATGAGGCCACTACCTCAATTTAGACATGGATCTGAAGGGGAAGGAAATTTTCTCCAGATGCCTGTGCCCATGGTACTGCTCGGCGACCGACCACAGGACTTTCGATTCCACGTGTACTCGGTGGGTCGTAGCGGAGTCAAGGATCTAATCCCGGTCCTTTCAGACCGGAGACCGATTATCTAATCACAGCCTACCAGGGCCCAAAACATAAGAAAAAAAAGCGCGCTTGTGATCACAAGTGTCCCAATTGAGGAAACAATCTCACATTGGGACAAAGTATTTAAAAAAATAAAGTTGGAGGAATTCTTGAGTAATCAATACCATATTATTTGCTGTTTTGTTTAAAAATGTTTATTAACAACTAAACTTGAAAATCGTACTAATGTTGAATTATGGCAATAATATTAAAAAATATATATATTTATTGCCAGTAAGGAGGAAAACAAAATAAAATGCTAACCTTTGGCATCGGTCGGTACCGAACCTGTGACTTCTGTAAGAGTCACAATGTCTTAACTTTCAGAGAATTGGGTATATAAAATTAGGACGATTTACATCGGGCTGCTGCAAACAGAATTTACTTTTTATAGAACTTCTCGGCCTTTTTGATTGTTGTTGTTGTTGTTAATTTACGTCGCACTAGAACTGCACCATGGGCTATTGGCGACGGTCTGGGAAACATCCCGGAGGACATGCCATCACAATTTTGATCCTCTGCGGAGGGGATATTTTGATCCTCTTCGGTAGCCCGACGACCTGCGCGCGAAGTCGAGCACTTTACGGTAGCACAGTTTATAGAGCGCTTACCGTTCAATGAAGTGACTTAGGTTCGTATTCTAGCATTGAATTGTCTGCTAGTCGATACGAATTATGCTCATGGCTCGCACTGACCACAGTCCTGNGTCTTAACGATCAGTCCACTACGGGACTCGTTCTTCTCCTTTCTCAGCTTAATAATTTTTCATAGTTTTAAAACGAAAGTCTTTTGATTTTAACACTAAAATATGCATTTTCCTACTTAGATATTAATAAATATTTCTTTTTACTTAATTTTTTACTACTACATACATTAACGGTGGTCATTATGGGTCATATTTATTAGCAATCATAGAAAATAACCTAAAAGTATCAAATATGGACGCCCCTAAGCATTTTAATAATTCTAATTTTTGCTTCAGTGTACATAAATTTGAAAATCTGTTGCGTTACAGGGGGGGGGGAATGGCAATTTAGCTAGAAATATTGGATAGTTGAAATAATGGACAATGCTCATATTGGGAACCTATGTCCATATTTAGAACTGTTGCACCCTATATGAGCTTCCTTTAAATTTATGAAAACAAACCCTTAAAGCAACGTAAAACTTTATTCAGCGTCGACACAAGATGGAGATACGAAAACAGAAAAAAAATTATATCTTTTAAAGAGACAACATTCTTCCTGCACCCTAACACTGCATCATATCTAACTTTTTTTTTTTTGACAGCATAGTATTACAATGCCAGCACTCTTTTGAGCTATATAGACTACCACTGCAAGACGGTTGAGTTGCGATAGTTATTACTTTAAATTGGAGTCTCTGACTTCGATTTTTTTCGATTACCATAATTTCACCATACCGAAAATAGTCAGTCATAGAAAAAATTTCAAAATTTGTGTCAGGGCTACTTGAAAAATAAAAAACTCAACTAAATTCTCTCAATAAAGATGTCCTAGTCAGAGGCTGAACCAGATCAACATTTTCAACCAGATCACAACTTAATTTCCGTTTGCACTGTTGCTATTGGACGATTCTTAGTCCTATTCCAATAGAACTCATTCCCATTGGTTGCTTCTGTAACTGATTGATCATTGATGAATTTTCAGTGAATAGGTAAATAAAACAATGGCAGCTTAGACATCTCTATAGGGATTAATGATCAAAGCAGGATATCTTTAAATAAAAAAGACACGCTCATGAATCAAATTTTTAAGAACACTTTTTCTACTTCAATGTTCGGGTCACTTACTTCAGATATTTTTTTTTAATAGCGGGCACTTGAGGATTGTCCCATTGGCCACAGGAATGCCAGAACTGCGACTCTTTTCTCGTTACCCAGTGGGCACTTGTGGCGAAGCCACGGCGTTGGAGCAGCGCCGCCCACGTCACACAATCACAAACACGTTTATAGGGCGGGTCACACTCACACAAAGGAAAAAGGACATAGAACACAGAGAGAGAGAAAGAAACATCCATGCCCTGAGCATGATTCGAACCCGCGGCCAATGGCTCCGCAGTCAGACCAACACCTCATAGAAGTAGGAAGGCCTCAGCACGGATCAATTTAGTAGTCCGATGTGACGAAGTTAACTGCGCAGTAGCTGAAAAGTAAAAAAGATGTCATTACGTTCGGGGTCCTAATAAGCTGCGCAGTAGTTGAAAATACGAAATACGTCATTACGTTTGGACTACTAAAGGATATTTATGGTATCCCGT